GCTAATAGCGTCTGACTTTGAAACGCTAATTTGGGTGCACTTGATTTCCATTTCCAGTCTGTCCTGCTTTGCCGGGAGGGACTGGGGCCGACTACGCACACGACAGAGCATGCAGGGCTGGGGGGTCCGGGAGACGCTCCCCCCGCGGACGGAGCGCCCGCAGCCTGGCCTCTGCTCTCGGAGGGTTGCGCACAGCCCCCGCCGCGCGTGGTTCAGGCCGGCGGCGCGCTGCGGCCCGGCCGAGCCCGCGACTACCCGCTTCGGTAGCGCTGAGCCTGGTGGAGGGAGCCGGAACCGCTTCCCCGCGGGAGCTGGCTGCGGGCCCCACCAGCGTGGCGGCGCCGTTGCCCTTTTAAGCGGGCGCCGCCGTTGTCCTCGGGTGCCCCGCGCGGCCGGCCCGCAGCCGCCAGCGCGCTATTTATAGCGGGCCGCGGGCGGGGCGCCCCTAACACGCGATGCGCGGCTCCGCGGCCCCCTCCCACAGGGACGCGCGTGACCGCGGCGGGCGCTGCGCCGAGTCCCGCCCTCTCCTCGCGACGGGCGGTGGCCGCGCGTGGGTTGCAGGGCCGGGCGGGCCTGCGTGCGTCTGAGCCCTGGCACCGCTCCGCCACCTGCTCCCGCGGCGATGGCGGTCCCCCCTTCTGAGGGCTGAATGGGAGACGTGCGAGAACGCCGACGTGTGTTCTGGCAGCGGCCTGCCCACGCTCTGAGCTGAGGGGAAAGGAATGGAGCGCTTTCCTTCCACTGAGGGGGATCGTTTACCGCGCACAAACCGTACTTTGTGAAAGCAGTGAAAAGCCTTTGTCTCCCTGGAAGGACCGTGTAACAGCGTGACACACTTGCGTGTCCCTGGCATCAAGGGAAAAAGAGAGGCTGTGCTGGATGGGAGCCGTCTGTTTGAGTTTCTTGCGTGAGCCTAGCGGGAGAAGGACATTGCAGAGGAAGGGAACGTGCAACTCCTCTTTTCTTGACTTCCTTTAGAAGCCCTGGAGTGTCTATTTCAGCCCTTCGCCTGTTCCCTGGAACTTGAATTAATATCTGTTTGCCTTTTATTTCTGTACAATGAGAAATACTCCCGTTAGTTGTTACAAAATGACTTTCTTTGTTTCAAGTTCTGTTACAGTGTGGCAACACTACCGCTCTCCCCAGTGGCTTTTGCCTGTCTCCTAAGCAATTCTTGCAGCTGCCGTGTGTAGGGTGTGTGTGTCCATGTTGGATGTATTTGATTTTGCTTCTCTCCTACAGTTTTCATCCAAACAGCAGCAGATTGCTTCCGCCATGTCCATCAGCTTCCCCCTTCCTGCACCCTGCAGCATGGCTGCACACACTTTGCCATCCAGCTGCTCCCAGCACTGCCTCTATCTCTGATCAGCAACAGCCCAGGGAATGACGTACATTGAAAATAGGGCCTGTTGTTTTATGGCCCGTGCCAACAAAGCCGTGTTACAGCAAATGAATGTGAGTCACTGAGTTGGAGTTGGGAGTGTCCTTGAGACATTCCATTTATAACTTGACCAGGTATTAGCGGATTTTCTTGCTTTTCAGAACAAATACATTGCTACCATCTCCCAGCTCCTTTAATGTATAACAAATCGGCCAGTGGCAGGGAGAGTTTACCTCGGGGGCATCTGAGGTGAAGAGAGCAAAAGTAATCTCTTAAGTGCAGGAACGCCCTCAGCACTTTAAACCACAGCCTTAGAACAGGAGTCTCAAGTGCACATTAGTAATGCTTTTGCCCTTTGCTCTTTGGAGGGGTGATTTGCTCTGCAAATACCTTATGAATCTCATGAGGCTCTGGCATTATGTTATTTTTTCAAAGGTGTTCTCTAGTAAATACCCATTGCATTACAGTATGGGCTTCTACCACAACATATTAAATAATCATGGACAAACGGTATCTTGTGACGGGATTTGTTCTGATAAATAAAGGTCTCTCAAGCCACACACACAAAAGTACATTTGTTCTGAGGACAAATGAAAAGATCAATGTTGTTTGAAACTGGTGAGAAGGTTAAGTGTCTTATGTCTTTAAATGAACAGGATAAGTGAGGAAGTCATGAAAGCCTTTCTTGAGCATAGCCTTTCTTGAGTATACATGTTCTGGAGTGCCATCTTTTCTGTGAATAGTTAACAAATTGAACACAGCTGAACCTAATAAAATCTAGGTTCATGTGTCCACAGACCTTCATTTGCTGTGTGGCATCAGTTGCTGTACTGAGACTAATCATCTCAGGAGGCTGCCAGAGAGGATTTCTCTGCTGACGTCTTGAAGCATAGGGAGTTATAGTCTGAAGTTTGTTGTCTGTCTGTTGCAAAACTGAAATACAAAATCATGGTCCTGAATGTAAAAAAAGAGTTTAGCTGCTTAGGTCAACCTCAGGTTACAGTGCAAATATCTGTGCTGGATGACTGTTAGATCTATCAGCTCTTTACATACCCCCATTCTGCCTCTGAGTTCAACAGCATGTTTTACTTAGGCACTCTAAATATCATATACCATGAGAGGCTGCTGAAGAGGACGCATCTTCTGCTTTCCCCTGCTTTTTGCTCACTATTTACAGCACATTGTTTTTTAGGGCTTATTACAGCTGTCTCTTGGAGCCACACTGCAAGGGAAGTTTGGGATACTTCCTGCACAGTCACAACATTTTGGCTGACAGACAGAACTCTGGTCTCTTAGGTTTGTCTGCTGACTCAATGGCGTCAGAGCCTCGCGTGAGGACTGGCCTGTTTGTATGGGTAACTCTGTGGGATCGTCACTCACATACAATCTAGCTGTGCAACAGGATGTGAATGAGAAGTACCTATCCCGCCATCACACCAAAGCACTTAATAAAGTGTGCTAGCAGTGTAAACACAGTACAGAAATTGTGACCCTTCAGAAAAGGCCTATTTTTTTTGGTGCTTTGCACTTTCAAATGCAGAAGCTCTCACCTTTTGTTCTTGGACTCACTTTGTATATTTTGCTTTTGGACCATTTGACTTTCCATACTATCAAAACATCTAGATGTCACTTAGACAAGTTTCACACTCCAAATAGCAGACAATCTAAAGGATAATCATCACTCAGACTTATCTGTCATACTGATCCTTATTCAACCAAGTGGCCTCACTGGATTGGATGGGAGCATACAAAAAAAAAAATCACTTTTCCTCATCAGATGTTACATGGGTTTTTCACTTCAAATATTTACTTATCAATTTACATTCACATTACATTTGAAGCTTATGATGTAGAAGCTTTAGCAACCTCAAAATTTCTTCATAGGTATGAAGAGTTTAAAAACAAACAAACAAACAACAACAACAAAAAAAGAGAAGTTTATAGCTGAGAGAAAACTATTGAGGTTGAAAATTAACTGATGAGAGTAAGAGAGCCATGTGTCCTTTCACTTTTAATCCCAGCCTGGAGGTAGTTAAGTATCTGCGTTAGACTGCTTTTTCAAACATGCCTATTACCACAGAAGGGAATACATTAAAGTTCCCTGTTAGCATTTAACCTGTTTTGCCTGGGTAGACGATCGTTTGCATAGGATAAATAGGTTTTGCATAGTAGATAGTACATTTTTTCTCATAATCTTTTTCTTTTATAAAACTAATTGCATAAGTTTGGAAAGCTTGGCCTCATACTGTGGGTTGGTTTTTGTTTTTGGTGTAGCTGAGGCAGTAATTGGATTGGGTCACATCTGTGATCAAGTGGTTTTGCAACCGTGTAATCTTATGCTGACTTGAAGTGTGCTATTTCATCTGTGAGTTAATTTTCTCTATGCTGCTTTAATTAAGGGAAGTGGAGGTTACATGCATTTAAATATTAGTGAGAAGCAGAGTAATAGAATGTTGTCAATTACACTGGTTTTAAATCATGAACAGATGTGCCTGACATTCGTTACTGCACTGAACAATATAGCTGTAAGACATGCTGATAATAGCTGTAGATGTGAGTATTGCTAAAGCTCCTTTTTCATACTTGGTGAAATCTCTATTCTTTATTTAGATCCAATTGTAGTCTGTATTCTTCTTTCACTTTTGTTAACGTAGATCAGGATTCATTTTTCTTAAAGTGAGGTCTTGTATTTTTGCAAAGATCTGATCCAAAGCATCAGAAAAAACTTGTACCGTCTTCAGCGGGAAAGGAAGGAGTAATCAGGTAATGTGAAAGTGGAGAATCAGGCTTGCAGGCTGTGACAAAAAAGATTTCACATCTATGAGCTTGTATAGCTTGAGGTTTAATAAGGAGCTTTTTAAATAACAGGGTTGTTTAAGAAAAATATGAGCAGTTTTGTTGACACTTCTAAGAAAAATAAATGATGAAAGTGGATGTGAGATTCCCTGCTCACAACAAAAGACCTTAACATACCTTAGCTCCCAAGGGAGTTGTTAAAGTTCTCTTGCTCCTGTAGAGGATGAATGCCACGTGAATGGATATTTTCAGCGTTGTTTAAGCTCCCAGAAATTCAGATGGTGTTTAGTGAAGTTTTCAGAATTGTAAATCTCACTCATCTTCAGCAGCGGAAATGAGAATTAGGTACGCGGTGGCGTTTTCTGAAGCATTGTCTACATTGTAAAACATCTGTTCAAAAAGTTCTTCAACAAATCCAGCTCCAATTCTCCTTTTATGCATGTCTTGGAAGTTTGCTGTTGTCTTTGGCAGGAATGAACTGTAAAGAGGCAGTGACTGGCATCTGATTTGAGTCTTCAGTCCATTCTATAGAACTGATGGAAAGAAGCTTAAAAATGTTGTCCTTAAAGCTTACACTGCATTTGATTACTCTGTAAAATGTCCAGGACTTCAGGGGAATTGGACTCAATGATCCTTGTGGATCCCTTCCAACTCGGGGTATTCTGAGATTCTGTGACTAATTATCACTCAGTGGTATTTTGTATTTTCCACAATGAGTGCATAGCTTGTTTGTTTGTTGGAAGTTTGTTTATCTAAATCTGATGTGAACTGTGGAGCACTCCTGTGCTGAAGCGATGTGTTTGTCCTCTCTACAGGCCTTTCTTGTCTGTGGGGTTCAGATTACATTTTCTAAGGAACTACCTTGGGAAGAAAACTGCCCTCTTCCCTCGCTTCTGCTTCAAAACCTGCAAAAAGTATTCTATTGTTTATGACAGGTAAGTGCACTGGATAACAACTGCCATCAGTGATAAGAGAGGTGATGAGTATTAACGGTTGATTTTAACAGCATAGTCCAAATTATATCCTGAAAATGAAATGAGAGCTTTGTCAGGTCTCATGCTGTCCCACTGCTGACCACTAAAATTTTGTTAAGCATTCTTTGTTAGCGTGTTTGAGAAGCCTTTGGTGGGCAGGATATGAACTAAACCTCAGGATCACCCCTTGAAGTTCCAGTTCTGAAGAGAACTTCAGATTTCTCTTGCTCCTGGGTGAAATGGCTTCTATTTCATCTGAGGCTGAGCAGTGCAAATTTGGACAATGACCATATACCAAGGTTGCCGAGAAGCCTATAAACCTTTAAGCAGCACTGCATGGAAAGATAAAACACAAAATGGATGTGTGTATGAAGGGAATGCACCCAGTGTTTTGTGCATTCCAGAAGCAGCCTCAGTAGAAACTGGAATTTGAATTCTCATCTGATAACATTCCACAAAGACAACTTGCATTCCCTTCCCGCCTCCCTCTCCTAAGAGATTTCTTTTGGCTTATTATTATTTTGGCTTATTATTATTCTGCCTTGGCTATCAGGTAACTGCTGAAGTGCCAACATCAGAAAAGATTAGCTTGGGTGCTTTTTGTTCAGCTCATAGTTTAGATTCCCTGGGGTTCATTACTGTCATGGATTTTCTCTCTTACTGCCGTTGTTAACAATGTAACTGCTTGGTGTTGTTGCTCTAAATCAAGATCAGAAACGTTACCAGGTACATCAGTGCCTTTTTAAGTTTCCTTCTACTACCTCCCCCCACCCTCCTTCATACACACCCCTGTTTGTACAGTACAAGGCCATTAGAAAGGCAGGAAAAAGGAGAGGCGATGAGTCATGTTAATTTCTTAACGGCACAATTAAAACACAAGGCCCCACCTATCTTAGCAGGAAAAAAGATCTTGGTCTGTACACCTGCTGTGCAATATTTTTGTGTTTATTCCAGATTTTTAGTTCTGAATATAAGTGTGGAAAGTAGGCTGCTGTTTCAGGAATTTGAATTAAGGAAATATTGCTTTTGGACCCGAGACATCAGAGTGAGATCAGGAGAAGCAGATCTAGTACGGTGTGATCATCTGTTCATTTCTGGGTTATGAGCTCTATAGAAAGAGATGCAGAACTCTGTTTCCTTTGCTGTGGGTTTGCCAGCACTGATAATGTCCCATTTGAACTCCAACTGATGGTTTTGTAGCTAATATCATAAAGCAGAGAAAATAACTACTTCAAATGAGGGTTCCTTTTTTTTTCCTTCTGACTCTATTTTTAGTAATTCCATTAATAATCACTGTGCATTTTTTTTATTACAATAGCTTCTGCTTAGCACTATTGAGCAAAGGTGTCAGCTTGGGAATCCAACTGCTAGTGTTTTTTTTTGTTTCTCTCTGTTATAAGAATCAGTCTGCCTTTTAGTTGATAGTTGTGTTTTTTAGAAAATCAGGTTTGGTCATATAGTGACAGCTGTAAGAAGCAGAGCAAAACATGCAGCCTAACAGGGGGGATGATGATTTCCCTATTTTTTCTGCTTTTCTGATTCTAGACAGCTTCTGAATCTGGGGAGATTTTAAAGGATGTAGACAGTATCTTGTGTATGACAAGCCATCAGTGTTGTGCCCCATGTCCTCTTCCTGGCACGCCTCTTAGACCTGAACTGTCGCTGGGATCCTGGGAAATGGCCAGCATGTTGCTCTCAGTGTGACTTCCGAGGATTTTCAGGCCCCCTTATCTTTGGTAAATGTGCTAAGGTATGGGTAAGAATCTTTCCTCATAACTTTAATTAGTTCCTAGCATAGATAAAACCCTCTGGAGTTGTCAGAACAGATGCTCTGTGGAAATCTGAAAACTAATTAATGTGTAGGAGTTGGAGCTATTTTTTCCTCTTTACTTTATTCTCTTAATATTGAGCACAGTTACAAACAGTATGCTAGAGGGAAGATGAGTACTGCCACGTACGTCCCATATGACTTGTTTGCAATGCTGAACTGTGCTCAGGACAGAAGGTAAAACTGCCCTGCAGTGATGGCATACAGGGTGATTGGGAGGGATCCTCTCGGGAGGAAGAGGAGCAAATAATGCCTTTAGTGTGTTTCCATGTTCCCATGTTTCTTGTATCACCTCGCTGCAGAAGGAGCCACCCTGTTGCTGTTCAAGTAACTCTTGAAGCTTTGCAAAAAGGACAAAGTCATTGCCCAGGTCCAGCAAACCTCTTGCAGACCTCTCAGTCCCACCTCAGTACATTGCCTGCAAAAACACAAATATAGTTGAAAATGCCTGAGATGAACTTTCGTTTGAAGTGTGGTCCCTTCGTGCTCTGTTGGCAACATAAAAGGGGAGGCACTTGGAATCTGTCCCTTGGGAAGACCTTTCCAGGAGGACACCACAAATTTTATTTCTAATGTTTCTTAGAAAAGATAATAGCTCTCTGCAGTGTATCTGTCAGCCTGGGCTCTAACAGGGGCCTTCGTGGAGGTGTTAGGAACTCTACATGCTCTGACAGCCTTCTGCTTGGAACACCCGGATCCAGCACAGACCGCAGCACAGTCTGTTTACAGCAGATAGGAGCCAAGCTGTTCCTGCACATGAGGAATGCAGTGACTTAAAAATTCTTCCCTACACAAGCTTAAGAACAAAAGCACAAAGCAGTACAGCCAGTCCATGGGCTAGCTGAGTAAAAGGTAGGCCTGGGTTTCAGAAATAAGTTCATATGGTTATGCCATAAGGTTTTCTTATAGATATGCTCTTGGCTTAGGAATTGCCTGTTTCTTTCTCCAACTGTGTTCAAATGCAGTGAAGCACCTGCTTTCCCTTCTGTTAAGGAGAAAGAATAGCTGGGGGGAGGGCAAGGTTGCAGGTGTAGGAAGGAGATAGGAACATTCCAAATGCTTTACTGGGAATTGGCAGATGCTCTGGGAGAAGTTTGAGGACCTAGGGATCTTTAACCTGAGTTAATCTGACTTGCCTTTTAATCCAGCATCCCGAGCAGTGCCTGAACACTGCTTGCATCTGTGAACACTAACTGAAACAAGCAACGAAGACAATTTTTTAGAATACATGTTTTTGGTAGAACTAGTTAAAAGCAAATCCTCAACCAAAATCTTGAATTCCTTAGCTTTGCTCTACTTCAGTATTATTTAATGCTTGTTTTGGGTATACTTACAATAGCAGTGAAGCAGACTTCTTTTTATGGTAGCTATAGATCTACTTATGTATTTTCCAGGAGCTAATGTAATAATATTAATACTTCTATGAGTCTCTTATTACACCTTTAAGTCCAATTTTCTAACGAGATACTGATGATGTTGTTATTCTGGCTTCAGCAGTTTTCTTTGTCTCAGGCCCCATAAAGGGATAGTGAAGATAGCCATGATTCTTGTTTGGGTAATTTTGTTGGACAAGGGACCTGTTCTCAAAAATATTTACCTGCTTTCCTCATTTGTAAGAGTCTAGATTTTGCTACATCAGTTACTCTTACATTGTGACTGCCTTACAGCATACAGTTCAAACAGATGAATCTACAAAACCTCTGCTTCAACTGATAACAATTATATTGCTTTTGTTTCAGTTAGTGTAGTGATTCTTCCACCAGCTGATAAAAGTCTGCTTATGTTAAAAGTACGGTTACCAAAACGTTACATTTAAAAGTGATTCTAAACAAAATCTCCAGGAATTCCTTTAACTATCTGATTCTGAGAAAAACAAATTTATCATCTGCCTTTGTCCATATGTATCAAAAAGAGTTACTGAGTCAAATGATGTGGTCAGTTGGCTGTGAAGCATGTATCCTTGCTCTGCACCCTCCAGCCGTCGTTAGTACAATTGCACTTTAGCATTGCTGGCTAGGTTCATGACCTAATAGATCAAAGAGGGGAATAAGACTCAACTGTGTGAAGAACAGAGCTACAGTCAGACCTGCATGGGGAGATAGAAATTAATCTTTTTAGGTCACGTTATCTGTTTGAACCTATTATACAGCCTTAATTCTACTTGTGTTAGGGAAGGGAATTTTTTTTTTTTTTTTTTTTTTTTTTTTTTTTTTTTTTTTAAGGCTTGTAGCTCCCATTTGCAGAGATTCACTTTAAAGGCCAGTGTTGCAGCAGGTTTTTTGTTGTTGTTGTTGTTGTTGTTGTTGTTGTTTGTTTGTCTTTTTTCTCCAGTGTATGATCTTTAATAAAGGCTCTGTGGAAGACCAGTTTAGGTGATACTACCGTTGCTTTGAAACATACTGTACTATTAACCAGCATCCTTATGTAAGTGATTGATGTAGCTAGGATACAACCAGGGAAATAGAGATGAAGCAGCACATTCTCTGCAAATTCTAACGGTAGAAGCTTTGTCACATTCTGCAAGGATCCCCCAGAGTTCTCCCATAATATTTTTTTTCTTCTTTGAGTCTTGTTCCGGGGTGCTGACAAGAAGTGTTCTGATTTTGAAAGCTTATTTTGAAAGGAGAGTGGAGAAGAAGCTACTTTGTATGTTGCTCTGGCGAAAGCAAGTGGTGGTAGAATATTTGATTTGTGCAAGATAAGCTATTATCAGCTAGTTTCTTAGCACTGGTAAGTAAATAGTGATAAGGTCTAATGACTCCGCCTAATGCCTCTTTCCCTTGCGTCTAAGCCAAACAAGTGTCTTGCTGGCTCCATCTGCTGGACCCTGATGATGTGAACGATACTGTGAAGCTTGGCTGGACTCACACGGAACAAACACGTCTGAAACTGAAGCACTCCATGCGTGTCATGGAAACCGTGAGAAAAGAGATGGGAACATCCGTCCTCAGAATGCATAAGTGTGAAGACTAATGATTTGGAGTTGCATTCATTACAGCTTTTCTAGTTGTTTTGGGATGCCGAGAACAACCCAAACCAATCAAATTTACAAGAGGACACATCCATATAATGTTGGCTTTTACTTTGTCATGTGCTGGTGTATAGGAAATGAGACCTTGAAGATAGTTTATCTCAGTCTGATTAATACACAGTTAATGAATTATGCATAAAACTCTAAATGTTTTCCCAGATATAGAAACAAAAGGGTTGCTTCTGAAGTAGCAGACCATGGAGGATAATTTCAGACTTTTAGAACATGTGTTATTCATGCATTCCAGCCAACAACTCAATGGCTGATGACCGAGCAACACCTGCTGGACTTTGAGGACTTTCAACTGTCTTATTACACTTACTAAAGTTCCACTGTCCCCTAAATTCATCTCCTTTTCACAGAAAAGGTAAAAATAAATTTACAAGGAAGCTTCTTATTGGGTACTGTGTCCTGCACAGATTACTTTCTTCGAGTAGTCACATACCTACAGTTAAGAATGTGATTTTTCTGCCTCAGATGCTTGATACATTTAAGAAAGTTCATGTTTTTAACAAAGTTATTGTGGGACGTCATTTTGGGGAAAAGAAACAAGGAGTGTGTTTCATGGGAGTGGTGGTACTTCCCACTGAAAAGGGCCTTTGCTGCTGCTGTGACACAGCTGTCTCTATATCTGAGAGCGTTTCAGTGTTCTAAAACCGGACAGAACAAATTGAGAAGCCATGGAAACAGTGACTAAGATGAGAAAATATTTGCTTTCCTTGCTCTCTCTTCTGCCATGGTTGCACAAATTCTTGGAATGACTGGAAAGAAAGTTCTAAAAAATTTTGTGATTCCGAGATTCTCCGTCACGTAAGCATATTCTTTAATGAAGCCATAGGGAATACAGCTACCAGGGGAATATGTGAAGATTAGCCTCAATACTTAGAATTGCTGCACAATCTGGTAGTTAGAACATCTAAGAATAAATAGTTAATGCTGTGGACTACCTGATGGTAGTTGATTGCAAATTACAGGTTTTACTGTAGGGATGTCTCACGTTCTTTTAATTTTATGGAAGATGTAGTAACAGCTGGTTTCTGAAGTTAAAGAGAAACGTTTCCTAAATAGAATTATTTCCTGAATCGGTGATGCAATTATGGCTAGCTGGAATATTTTAATTATGATTTCCATTTGTAATCAAATATTACAAAAGCACGAGAGAGGGACTAAGATCTCTTTACGTATAAAAAACAGTCTGTCTGAACCATATACCAGGAAATGGAATTAGAAACCTATCAGTCTATTACAGAGAGATGAGGGAAAGAAACCAGAGAACTGTGAAGACTTGGACCAACTGGCAGCATTAAGATCCCCAAACAGGCTGTTAGATGCAGAAATGTGAAGCACTGTAAACAATCAGTTCAAGAAATTGTTTTGTGGGAGTTCAGAGCTGTAGTGAAGTTTGACATGGAATGAAGAACTTTCTACATACCTGCTCTCCAGAACAAGATTCCTGGGGAAGTCATGTCACACTGTGTCACATTGTGGTTTTGTGACTTTGAGAAAGCATCTTGTCAGTTCAGCCATATGAGAAACCATATTTTGTGAGATGCTAAGCACAACCAAGGAGAATAGGCAGACAGACAACTGCAACTCCCCAGAGGAGAAGGAGCAGCTTGGGTGAGCCCAGGTAAGTCAACCTTATCTGATACCAAATGTCTCAACATAGTTTGTTTAAATAACGTATTTCAGCTTAGTGAACATACAACTAAGCCTAAAATGCTCTATTTAAATATTTGTCAAAACATATTTAAAATACCTCAGAACCCTTGCAGAAATTCAAATGACTTTGTTGCAGAATACCATTAAATTCCATGTCTGTGCTCAAATATGCTTTGGGAAATGCCTTGGTAAATAATGACATTTTTTGCTGTTTAGCCAGAGTTGTGATTGTGATTACAGTTATGTTTCTAGACATTTGTTTCTTTTCCAACTAGCAAGAAAGACAAACCAAAATGTCTCCAACAGATACCATTGTTCTTGTTCCTGAAGCAGGTGGAAGTTACAGGCGTTGACCCCTCTTAGTATTTGTTCTATTGTTTAGTAATCAGCCTGGTTTTAAGTTCTCAGTCAAGTGATTAGAAAAGACTTACTGGCCTACACCCAAAATCTAAAAACGAGCATGAGCATGTTCCTTTTTCTGACATGGCCTGACCTTCTTCCCTTTTTATAATTGCTACTATATGAGGGTTAGTATCAGCCTTCTCTAATCTTTTAGATTGCCATTGATTCTTTGAATGACAAACTGTGGCAAAAATTTGTGAATGCAAAGAGAGTGAGATGTTATTGTGAGTTAGCCAGTGCTAGAAAAGTAAAGCACAGCTATGCATTATTTTAGGCTTAAAAGTCTGCAAACGCAATCATTTAATCTTTTTACTCAAAGCTAGAGTTTTAGAAACCCTTTGCTTTATTGCTTTCTTACTTACCTGTGACACAACACCGTCACCTTGGGCAACCAGTAAGTCTCTAATAGGAATAAAGCCTGTAGTAGTCCATAGCAGCAAGCAAGCTTAGTAGAAGGAATTAAGAATTAGCCTTTTCTAATACCCTGAGTAGTCGTTTGAAGGGCTAAAAGAACTCTGCATTCTAAGAGCTATGGAGAAGACTTTGCTTTTGAATTAAATGTTATCTTGACATCGCTAGTGAGCAGCACAAGCAATGGCGCTTTCTCCAAGTCTGTCAAGGTAGGTGCTTCTCGTTTTTCTATTTTAAGGAAAACAGTAAGGTAAAATGAACAGGTTGTATGCCACTGAGGAAAGAATCGTGATAGTCTCTTCCACTGTTGTTTCAGTAACCGTTTGCTTGACTCAAAGGTCTTTTGTGAAGTGGGATACTAAATGCGCTCATTCTTCATTTAAGTGAGCTGAGCACTACCTGTTTTTTATCTAAGTGATAGAATGCTAAGCACTCTTCAGTATATCTTCAGAAACTTGAACTTGAATTCATCTTAAGCAGTTTAAATTAGAGGTATTCTTTTAATTCAGTAACATGTTGCTTTCCTGGAATTCATTAACTAAATAAAGGCATTCTCTGTATTTTTAAAATTTATTAGAAGAAGAGAGGTACTCTTTTTTAGGGTTTTAAAATGAATAATGAAGATGTATTTTTAGTATCCAAAATATGCTTGAGGGAGCCGTGTATTTATCTTTCAATATGTTTTGCTATATGCTACAAGATTTGAAATGGACTAACTACATCGACCTGGTGTTTGCTCTATTGAGCTGTTGCGTTGATCTCTTCAGTCTTCATTGACCTGAACCAAAGGAATACATTTCATAATACTTGCAGTTCATCTCACTTTATCAGCCACGCTGAGATTCTGTAGTCAAATAATTTTGAAACAGAGAAGAACTCTGAAATTCTCCAGTGTGTTCATTATGAGGTTTGGGTGTCAGTTTGTGCTTGGAAATGTCTCAGCAGGGCAAATTGCTGAAGGTGATACAGATCACATCACTGCCAATCTCCAGATTTCAAACTCTTTATTTTCTAGAAGTTTCATCTAAAATCTTCTATTGTTCCAGTATCTCACAGTAAACAGGGATTTAAATGTCACTCAGCTGCTTAAAATGATTAGTTGCAAAACAGCTTTTCTTAAAAATGCAAACTTTCCCTATTCTGGCCACTTAATAAATAAATAAATACATAAATGTTAGCAATGATCCTTCTAACTCATCCCTAGAAATTCTAAGGGGCTTCCTGTCCTAAACAAAGAAAAAGGGAAGTTAGTCATACTTATGTCAGGACAAATATCTTGAATGTCGTTTTAGTTGAATAGATCAAAGGAATAGATTGTCACAATCTAAAATGAGCATGTAACAGAAAGCCAAATGATACCCACACGATAGTTTCCCTAGAATGTGTGTTGGTTATGTTGCTGCTGAACTGGAGCTTGGCAGCTGGCTTAGCTGCTAGTAGGCTTTGAATGCCTCAAGGATGAGAAAGAGCCTGCACCTCATTGGTGCTCCTGAGGTGTGAGAAGTTGGAAGCTTTGCATAACTCAGTGACCAGCAGTCAGGAAGTGAATGGCCTTGCCAGCTTCATACTTGTCAGCATGCATAGAAATTGAACAGATCAGTGGCAGCAATAAAACCTCAGTCTATTGTGGTTGCGTCTGCTTCAACTGTGAAGACTTTTTGCTGGGAATTAATGTCTTCTAACTAATACAGCTCAGACATTCTCTCTATAGCACTAGCTATTAATTTCATGTGAGCTGAAGGGGAAGTCTTCAAATCTTCTTTCTACTTATAGCCTCCTGTTAATTTCTCAGTTGATATACAGTTTTCTGATAATAACACCAATTTGAAGAATATTGTTATGTGCGTTCACCCTTTCCTCAGATAGTCATGTTTGAAAATCAAAAGCTCAAAAGTAAGATGTGGGCAAACATAGTTCTAGCAACAACCCATCTGCATGGACAGCTGGGGTACAATGAGGATTAAGCAAAGGTCAAAAGAGTCACTCATCTTCGGGATAGGTATCTGCAAATGGAGTCGGTCAGGAGTGCAGTCATCAGGAGTAATTGCATGTGTACATGTTCAGAGCTACTAGTGCTTGCTTTCAGTTTTGTTCCCACTTCAATCTGGTTGTCAGGCTTCCATCACAGGCAGTTGAAAACCTCTTCCATCAATCTAAGGCCAATTTATAACTGCAAAAATACTGATGAGTAATGTTTCCATTTCAGTGTGTTTCAGTTTGGGATTTTTTTCATTTGCAATTTTAACTAGATGTGTCCTGATAAAGTATGCCTTTGGTGTTGAGTTTCCTGGGTCTCATTAGGGAACTTGACTCTTGTTTATGGAGTCAGAAATATGATTACTGCCTTAAATATGTTTTTTCCTTTAAATACCAATATTTTCAGCAAAATCTTGTGGGAAGTCAGATAGTAATGTCCACTGAATTTACAAGTTAATTTCATTTAAAAAAAGAACAATAACAACAAAACCACAATTTCACTTTATGATAGCACCACTGTAATAATTGTTGGCATGATCCCAGAAGGCTTGGATGTGGACCCTGTTGAACAAGGTACTAATCAAACACCGTACAAGAGATGATCTATTTAAGTGCAATCAAAGAGCTAAATGGAATCCTTAGACTGGATCAATCATAATGTGGTTGTTACAGTTGACAACCATGTCATAACTGCATTACTTTGTCCTTTGTCAATTCTAATTCTCCTGTTAAAATGCACATATGCTGAGAATTAGCTGCAATGAATCACTATAACAACGGTTTGTAATCTGACAATGGGCCCAATCCTCTGGGTTCTGGAAAAGCCTTGTTCATGCCAACTTCATTAAAGGTGGAATTCAGCCTACTGCTGAGGACTGGCATAATGCCAGCCTATGCTGAACTCTTCTCTAAGTCCTAAAACATGAAGTGCT